TTTGCCATCCATTGTCACAAGTATAAAATTCTTCATTGGTGAACTTGACTCTGATACTCCTCTCTATCCAACCTAACTCTTTTTTTTTTTTTTTTTTTTTTGAGACATAGTCTCACTTTGTTGCCCAGGCTAGAGTGAGTGCCATGGCGTCAGCCTAGCTCACAGCAACCTCAAACTCCTGGGTTCAAGCAATCCTGCTGCCTCAGCCTCCCAAGTAGCCGGGACTACAGGCATGCGCCACTATGCCCGGCTAATTTTTTTTCTCTATATATTAGTTGGCCAATTAATTTTCTTTCTATTTATAGTAGAGACGGGGTCTCACTATTGCTCAGGCTGGTTTCGAACTCCTGACCATGAGCAATCCGCCCGCCTCGGCCTCCCTGAGTGCTAGGATTACAGGCGTGAGCCACCACGCCCGGCCCAACCTAACTCTTGACTAGCTCATGGAGGGTCAAGGGCAAGGTCTTTCTGGATTTGACACAGCCAAAAAAACCAAAAAAGCCTTTGCAAATAATGGTGTAAACCCAGGAAGTCAGATTCCCAAATTAATTTATCTGGCCTACTTAAACAGTGTTAGTGAGATTTTACATGTTCCTGCTCCTTGGTTGTTACATATGTAGTGATGCTGGAATGATTAGGAACAAGAAAATACTGTGAGAAAGCACCTCTGTCTTCAAACCAAAATACCGCATCATCTTCCAATGTTGAGTACTGCAGAACCAATTTCAGTTATCCAAGGGGGATTGACTATGCCAGATTTCATTGGTAGAGGGGAGAAACTAATATTAATGGTATCTTTCATATCCAATATCTCACTTAATGCTCACAACAGCCTTGTAAGACAGGTACATTCATGGACCCATTTTACAGAAAAGGAGAGTGCAATAGATGATACAGCTTGTGCAAGGTCACCTGGCTAGTAAGATGCCATACAGGGCCTTGAGTCCTTGTGTGGTAGAGTCTACCTATCCCCTTCTAGAGCCTGGGCACTACTTTTATTCCTTGCCATCCCTTCACTTCCCACATCCCAGAGAACTCTGTCAAGTCCCTTCTCCCTTCCTTTTTTTGTTTTTGTTTTGTTTTGTTTGAGACATAGTCTCACGCTGTTGCCCAGGCTAGAGTGCCATGGCCTCAGCCTAACTCACAGCACCCTCAAACTCCCGGGCTCAAATGATCCTTCTGCCTCAGCCTCCCGAGTAGCTGGGACTACAGGCATGTGCCACCATGCCCGGCTAACTTTTTCTATATATTTGTAGTCGTCCAGCTAACTTCTTTCTATTTTTTTAGTAGAGACAGGCAGGGTCTTGCTCTTGCTCAGACTGGTCTCCAACTCCTGACCTTGAGCGATCCTCCCACCTCAGCCTCCTAGAGTGCTAGGATTACAATGCGTAAGCCACCCTCGCTGGCCTCAAGTCCCTTCCTTAATTGACTTATAGCAAGAATGCTCAAAGAATTAAACTCAGACAATGACACTTTCATCTGCACTCGCATAGAACAAAGATATTGTGTTATCTTTAAAGAAGCCCACATGAGTTTCTTTTTTAATGGAAAATTGAGTTTGCTGAATGAACCATCAGAACATTTGAAACTCAACACTTCACTCTGAGAGCTTTGTTGGGTAAATGTGGCAATCAGAAGAATTCATCAATAACTGACAACACAGAGTTCACTCTTTGAATAGATTCACCTTTTTGAGTATCTATTATAATGCTAGGAATTCCTCTAAGATTAGGTAACTATTCCAGGGGCTTCCTCCTCCAGAGAGCTTTTGGTCATCCCTGGATATAAGAGTAGCTTGTGTTTAGATATGAGTTTGAAACAAGGCATCAAACAGTAAATAGATATTCAGGTGCTGCCAGAAAATTAGTTTGGCTTTTTTTTTTTTTACATTGGCACTAGCTGTTCCCCCAGCCCTCTCCCACTAGCCAAGACATTGAAATTGATTAACAAATGCAATGTTTGTGGAAAAAGAGTGAACCACAGGATAATCAACTGCATTGTTAATTTTTTTTTTTTTTAAATCATTTCCCTGGCTCAAAATACACAATGTCAAATTGGCAAAAATAACCTACCGTCTTGTCTGGCCCACAAACTGAGAAGAAAATTAAACACAGAGTTATTTGTTTCTTGTTTACATTTCTCAGGGTGTGAAGCATTCATTGTCATACTATTGACATTCCTATACTTTCCATAACCCAAACGTGTTACCTTCAATCCAATCTAAGCCAGGGAACTGTTTTCCTCAGAAGGATGACATCGTCTTAGTCTAAGAATCTAAGGCTCTGCGGCTTTTAAATAAAGGAAGTAGAATATTGGAGAGTCTCTTATTCTTCCCCTGGGGAAACAGACAAAACTTGGTGGGCCAAGTGAGGAAGAAAATTCCAGCAACAGGTTTTCTCTGCCAACTTGCCTTCTTTGCTAGTTCATTTAAATACTTTTAATTTTGTTCATTTAAATTTAAATACATTTAAATTTTAAATTTAAATACTTTGAAATGTGCTAGTTAATTTACTTTTAAATGTGTTTCAAATGCATATAGTATTGGAGTCACGCTAGATTAAGATGGCAAATGCTAGCCCCTAATTTCTTTTTTTTTTTTTTTTTTTGAGACAGAGTCTCGCTTGTTGCCCAGGCTAGAGTGAGTGCCGTGGCATCAGCCTAGCTCACAGCAACCTCCAACTCCGGCTAATTTTCTATATATATTCGTTGGCCAATTAATTTCTTTCTATTTATAGTAGAGATGGGGTCTCGCTCTTGCTCAGGCTGGTTTTGAACTCCTGACCTCGAGCAATCCGCCCGCCTCAGCCTCCCAGAGTGCTAGGATTACAGGCGTGAGCCACACGCCCGGCTTCCCTAATTTCTTTTGTTAAGAGAAATATTACTGCATGTACCTTACTCTTTACTTCAACAAACATTTAAAAATAAGCAACCTAAAAAGAGTTTTTTGTGTCTCCTTAATATCTTAGAACAAGCTGGGGACACTGGGAAACCAAATTTAACATCTTGCTGTCAGAATATTTCAAAGGTCTTGCAGGTAATCCCATTCATTTTAGATTTTCTTCTTAAATAGCTTAAAGGATGTATTGGGCCTAAGTTTGGGGGCCTAAGAATGTACATGAAGTGACCAAACCTAAGGGTTCAAGAAAAAGATTTTAATTAAAATTCTGAGAGTTTGATTTTTAAATGTCTGTGATTCATTTTCTGCTCTAAAAACTTCAATATCCAAGGCTTGGGTTTTGAAAGGCAATAAATTTGGCTACAGAAAAGAGTGGCCTCTTTCTCCATTTGGTTTTGGTTTTAGTTTTGGTTATTTTTGTTTGTGTTTTTAAACTTTGTTTTATTACAATGCCTTGGCCAGTCCTGTTCTCTCACTTCGTCCAACTGTTTTGAGAAGAAAGACTTTATTTTATGAAGGATTTCATTTTCTGTCTCTTTCATAGAACTTTTCAAAGAAAGAGATGAAGTGGTGGAGGAAGAGAAGACATGGAAAATGAAGCACCAAGTCAGTGAACTCTCAGCTAGACAGAAATGTTACTGCTGAGTCAAGGGACAGGGTCCTTGACTCCTCACCCTACCTGATGAGTAGTTTTGCCAAGTCCATTTTGCTCACTTCGTTCATTCTATTAACGCAATAAATGGTCACTGGGCATTTGGCCTGCAGATCATGGAAGTCCACTGGGTAAATGTCATAGCAGAGCCACCTCACGGCTTTGTTAGCTACTCAGAGAAAAGAGGACTAGCCTAAAAGGGGACTTACAAAACTAGGGACAATTAAGAGGGACTTTGTAGTCTGGGCTCCATGAGGGCCCTGAGGGGAGAAAGGGCATTTCAGACAGGAAAAACAGCTCATGAAATACACATCATGTATTCAGGGACTTGAGAGAGAACATCTAGTTAAGAGTTTAGCGAGGGTGAGGTCAGTCTCTAGAGATGCTTCTGGAAAGTTCGTCTAGGGCCGAAGCAGGAAGAGTTTGGTCCATCAGGGTAAACAGTTTGGTCTTGCTCCCCTAGGCAAAGGGCAGCTATTGAAAGACTGGCTGGTGTGGGGGGTGAGCAGAAGGAGAACTGTGGTGCAAGTGTGTGAGCAAAAGGGACTTGATCTAGCAAGGAAATTCCAGTGGGGCCTTGGGGAGAGGGAGGAGGGCAATTTGGAGGCTGTGCCACAGTTAAAAGCTATAAATGAGGAGGGCCCGAACCAAAGCAGCACGGGAGCAGGAAAGAGATGGTGGAGATACTTAACAATGGAAATGGATGAACTCTGGATGCCTGGATACTCAGGTCAAAGAAAATGAGGAGTTGGAGAAAACCTAGGTTTCTAGCTTAGGAAGCTGGGGGAAGAGTGAGGAATTATGATAAGAGTTTGGGTGGACTGAGGTTCTTGTAAGAAAGGGTATTAACGAGCATACAGTTGAGAGTTGAAAGACCAACTCCCTGCTAATGGACTGTTCGAAAAGGAATAATAGTACATCATTCATTCATTCAACAAACCCGTATAGAGCATTACCATGTACTAGGCAGGTACTGTACTAGGACCTGGGGATATAGCAGTGAGCAAAACAATAGCCCTGCACTCATCAAGTTTATGGTGCCCTGGAGAATACTGGTGATATTAACAGCTATCTTGTATTGAGTGTTGAGTCCTGTGCTAAACACTTTACTTAGATTATCTAATTTGCTACTCATCACTCTAAGAAGTGGGTACTATTACTATCCCCATTTTACAGAAGAGGAAACAGGTAAAGTCAAGTCAGTAACTCGCCTAGCTAGAAAGCAGCAGAGCCAGATTAGGGAAGCTAGCGTCAAAGCCAACTTTCCAAACCTCTACACAGGATTGAGGTTAAAAAGAAGCTGGCGTTCACAGGAGATGGGAGTGGAAGCTAAGCAAAGCTTTGCCACCTCCTTATGAAAGCTGCAGGCCCCTCTCACTCACAGTTATAAATTAGTAGGGATGTCATTTCAAAGCAATCTGGGTATTTAAAATAATCATCTCTTCCTTTCACCTTCTTAAAGAGCATCTTTTCCTGAGTTCTGCGGCAGTTATGCACAGACACCCAAGCCGGGGTGCAGTCCCGCTCTCCGAGGTGCTCTGTGGGTCCAGACCCCACGCCCAGTTATGGGTGCAGAGTCTCTCACTTGAAACAGGAATGCAGCCTCTTCAATCATCACACCTCTCTGTGGATCCACACGAATCCCCTAGCGCTCGCTAATGGTGTGAGTCACAGCTTCCGCCGACTAATGCAGTTTGTGCTGGAAAAAAATTTATTTTATAACTCTAAGGACATTACTAATTAACTTCCATTCCACAAAACTTGTAATATCAGTCCACTGAAATAAAGTCACCAGTAAGTGTTTAATTCTTCTTTAAAGGGTGTCTTCTATTATTATTATTTTAGAGTGCAATTTAGTCATCAAAGGTTTACTCAGCCTCATGTTTATAAATTATATGGGGCAGGGATTTAACTCTTCTGGCCCTACCTGTTCTGAAGAGAGGGAGGGTCATAACCCTGTTGTCACACCGGGCACCTGCCTTGAAAGGAGATGATTTGTGAACTTGAAGTTCCTTGCCCCTTAGACATCTGTTGAACATAGAGATTTCCCTTTATGATGCAATCAGAGGAATAACCAGATAGCCGCCTGCCACGAACAGGCACTGGCTTTTACCCTCAAGAAGGCTGTTTGGAAACGACAAGTTCATTTTTTCTCAGAATCTTGTCTTGATTATATGACATAATAATAGTGTCTTTCCAATTCATCTGTGCAATACTGCTTTCTCAGTGTGGTGGTTCCAGTTAGTCTTTTTGAGGGGGAAGGGCTACTGCCTTAGATAACTAAAATCTAAGCAGAAATCAACTGCTAAACTGGCTACAAAGTTGGAAATTCCAAGTCCCAGCCTACATGTTTATATCGTGAGGAGACAGGCTGCCAGCCTAGGGCTCATTCATACAAGTCCATCAGGGTTTAGGGACTCTGGTCTTAATGAAAAAGTGGCTAACTTTTCCATACCACCCTCAAATCCCAGCACCCCAGAAGTGTTTGCCCACACAGTGAATGCGGTGGGTGGGAGGAAGCAGCAGGTGTCTTCCTTTCTTAATTCCCCCGTTAGAAAAGGGCAATATTTTCAAAGAATTAAACTGCCTGGTCCTATGGGGGTGGGGTTGAACCCCTGGAGGCCTGCGGAGGTTTCCTTTTCCCTGCCAAAGGATGCCCCTCCCCTCAGCTGGGCCCTGGCGGCCCTTGGCAGAGCCGAGCTGGAGGATGGAAGTCATACACTCAAAGGCGCCCAGTTCTCTGCACCTTAGACGGATTCCGGGCGATGGCAGAGAGGGCCGAGTCGATTCATTCGGGCGACGTGCATTCCAAGAATGCTCCCGTGGTGGGCAGGCGAGGAGTGGAAAAATCAGGGATAACGAATATTCTGTGGAAACCTAATAGGGACCAGAATCGCAGGATTCAAACAGGTGACCACGGCAACATGTACGAGAGCTCAGTAAGGGGTGAGGGCACACCCTGCCCGGGGCTGGAACTTCGACCCCCTTTCCCAGGCCCTCCCTCCCTTTCCTTCCCCTGGCGGACGCCGGCCGGGCAGGGCAGCGTTGCGGGCGAGGGGCTCCGCGGAGAGCGCGGGCGGAGCCAGGCGCGGCGCGCCCCAGTCCAAAGTAAACACCTCGCCAGCCTACGTTCAGCGAGCGATACCGAACACCACACTCACGTTAAAAAAAAAAAACACTGTTTGCATAGAAGATGAGGTCGAAAACATTTCCCGGCTGGAAAATTACTGATCACAAACTAAACGGGGAGGAGGGGGGCAGCGTGGTACGACCAAAATCCTGATCGCCCTTCTCTTTTCTCTCCCCGGTGGGCCAGGCCGGCTGCCGCGGGCCGCGCGCACTTTCCGGTAACCTGGGATTCGCCCCGCAGCGCCGCACTTCCTGGCACCCGGCCACTGCCCGGCTACGTCCCTTTCGGTGGGCCTGACCCACCCGGAGCGGGAGCCGAAGGAGGCGAGCTGTCGTTTGACCTTTACTCGCCATTTCACCTCTTTATGACTCAGTTTTCTCATCCATAAAGTGGAAAGGAGAGTGCGTGGCTTGTAACGTGCTTTGAGATTATCTAGTTGAAAGGTGTCTCCGAGCCTCACAGTCCCTCTTCTCTCCCCGACCCCTCCGATCTTTAGCCCTTGCACTCCTTTAAATATCAATACCATAACTCGGATCCCCATCCCGGCCCCTGTCCGCCTGCTCCAGGCGCGGAACAATCCTCCAGCCTTCTCCGGCGGTTCCCAGAGCCGCCACCCAGTGCCGGGCACCCACCTCCTCCCCACCCCATCCCCGCCCCTACCCCCACCCTCACCCCGGCCGGTGGCCCCGAGAGGAACCGTGCGCGGCCAGGCCGAGCGCCCGCAAAGGCGCTGCGGGGCGGGAGCCCGGCTCCTGCGTGCGTAGTGGGGGAGGGAGAGCTGGCTGAGTCACGCGGATAATCGCGCTGTCCTCTAGCGCGCAGATAGCGCGGCGAGCGCGTGCTGGAGCCGGGGCAGGGGTGCGTTACCGTCCCCCTGCTCCCCCACCGGCCTTCCCGCCTCGGGCTTCGAACCCAGGGAACCGGCAATGGCGGCGCGGACAGCCTTGGGCGCGCGGCTGCCGAACCAGCGCCCCCTTCCCTGCGCCCGCGCTGGGGCGGACACTGCCGCCGTCACCACCGCCGCCGGCGTCAGCGCGGCTCCAGCTCGCCAGCTGCCGGGCTGGCGTCACGGCCGGGCCCCTCCCGCGCCCCGCCCCCACGTGCGCCGAGTTTGTTTATTTAGCTGCCATGGCAACGCGCCGGGGGCGGGGAGAAGAAAGGGAGGGGCGGGGCCTGGCGGCGGGCCCCGGCGCGCAGCGGGGAGAAGGCGGGGGCACCGGGGTAGCCCAAAGTTATAAGTAAGGAGCGCGCGGCGGCCGCCGGCAGTTCCCCGGCCCGAGAGAGCGAGCGCGGCTGCGGGCGCGCGGGGAGCAGAGGCGGTGGCGGGCGGCGGCGGCACCGGGAGCCGCCGAGTGCCCCTCCCCGCCCCTCCGGCCCCCCACCCACCTACCCGCCCGTGGCCCGCGCCCATGGCCGCGCGCGACCCAAGCAGCCCCCCGGACTCCGCGCCCTGCGCCGCCGCCCAGCCCGCAGCTCAGCGCCACCGCGGCCAGTCTCACCTGGCGGCGCCGCCCGCCCACCGCCCCGGCCACAGCCCCTGCGCCCACGGCAACAGCCGCAGCGACAGCGACAGCGGTGGGGGACGCTGCTGAGTCGAAGAGAGCGCAGCCCGGCCACAGGACCTACTTACTCGCCTTGCTGATTTGTCTATTTTTATAAAAGTTTACAACTTTTCTAAGAACTTTTGTATACAAAGGAACTTTTTTAAAAAGACGTCTCCAATTTATATTTAATCCAAAGAAGAAGGAAGGATCTTGGGCAGTTTGGGGTTTTTGGTTTTGGCTTCGTTTCTAAGTCTTTTTTTATTTTCTTCGTTGATTTTGGGGTTCGGGTACCCCCGCTGCTTCGGCTCCCGAGGACCTTCTGGGCCCCCACATTAATGAGGTAGGTGAGACGCGGGGCGCTGCGGGTAGAGAGGGGTGAGGACCGGGGGGACGCACCCGAGCGGCGGCCGAAAGTGGTCCCTGACTCCTGCCTCGGTGCGCCCCGCCCGGTCCGCAGGCAGCCACCTGGCGAGTCTGACATGGCTGTCAGCGACGCGCTGCTCCCGTCTTTCTCCACGTTCGCGTCCGGCCCGGCGGGAAGGGAGAAGACACTGCGTCCGGCAGGTGCCCCGAATAACGTGAGTGTCGCCCTGGGCAGCCGGGAACACCCGGTGGGCTTTTGTGGGTGGGGTGGGGGCGGGCGGAACCCCGAGGTCACCCAGAGCCTCTGGGCGAGGGTAAGGAGTGGTCACGGCGGGGACACCGCAGCTTCCCGGGATGGCTTCCGCGCCCTTAGCTCGGCTGTACGTGCCTGTGGTCCGGGCACTGCGGAGCCGCCGGGGGCGCACAGCGGGTCCTCACGTGTCCCCGAGCAAGCACTCGGTAGGGCGGGCGCGCGCGCGGGCCACCGGGCGGGAGGTGACTGCGTCCCCAGACACAGACACTGGGCTGGAGTGAGCTTAGCGCGTGGGCGGCCCCGTGGTGAGGGAGCACGGAGAGAGCCTCGGTGTCCCAATTCCGGGGGCGTCCCGGGATCTGGTGGGGGAGGGACCGGGGCTGGCTACCCGCGGCTCTCGCTCGCACGCAGTTGGGCACACAGTATAGACGCATCGCCTCTTCTGGGACCCGGGTGTGGGCCGAGATTGCAGCACTGGCGCCCGGGGTTCCCGGGCGCTTCCTGCCTGCTCAGTCCCCGTGTCTGGGCGGTGCAGGCGCGTGTGGCCCGCGAGCACGTCAGTACCGTCGGGCGGCAACTGGGGACCACCACCGACCGATGATCTCTCTCCCGTCCTGTCCCCGCAGCGCTGGCGGGAGGAGCTCTCCCACATGAAGCGACTTCCCCCCGTGCTTCCCGGCCGCCCCTACGACCTGGCGGCGGCGACCGTGGCCACAGACCTGGAGAGCGGCGGAGCCGGCGCGGCTTGCGGCGGTAGCAATCCGGCGCTCCTACCCCGGAGGGAGACGGAGGTGTTCAACGATAACGATCTCCTGGACCTGGACTTTATCCTTTCCAACTCGCTGTCCCATCAGGAGTCCGTGGCTGCCACCGTGTCCTCATCGGCGTCAGCCTCATCCTCGTCCTCCCCCTCTAGCAGCGGCCCTGCCAGCGCGCCCTCCACCTGCAGCTTCAGCTATCCGATCCGAGCCGGGGGCGACCCGGGCGTGGCGCCGGGCGGCACGGGCGGAGGCCTCCTTTATGGCCGGGAGTCTGCGCCGCCTCCCACGGCTCCCTTCAACCTGGCGGATATCAACGACGTGAGCCCCTCGGGCGGCTTCGTGGCCGAGCTCCTGCGGCCCGAGTTGGACCCCGTGTACATTCCGCCGCAGCAGCCGCCGCCGCCAGGTGGCGGGCTGATGGGCAAATTTGTGCTGAAGTCGGCGATGAGCGCCCCAGGCAGCGAGTACGGCAGCCCGTCGGTCATCAGTGTTAGCAAAGGCAGCCCTGACGGCAGCCACCCGGTGGTGGTGGCGCCCTACAGCGGCGGGCCGCCGCGCATGTGCCCCAAGATCAAGCAGGAGGCGGTCCCCTCGTGCACCGTCAGCCGGCCCCTGGAGGCCCACCTAGGCGCTGGACCCCCTCTCAGCAATGGCCACCGGCCGACTGCACACGACTTCCCCCTGGGGCGGCAGCTCCCCAGCAGGACTACGCAGACCCTGGGTGCCGAGGAACTGCTGAGCAGCAGGGACGGTCACCCCGCCCTGCCGCTTCACCCAGGCTTCCATGCCCACCCCGGGCCCAACTACCCACCCTTCCTGTCCGACCAGCTGCAGCCGCAGGTCCCGCCGCTCCATTACCAAGGTCAGTCCTGGGTTTTCTTAGCTCGGGCTGGGGAGTTGCATGCGTGCCAGCCCTCCCGGGCTCACGGGATCTTGCTGACCTCACCTTCTTCGCCCCTAGAGCTCCTGACACCGGGTTCCTGCATGCCGGAGGAGCCCAAGCCAAAGAGGGGAAGAAGATCGTGGCCCCGGAAAAGAACCGCCACCCACACTTGTGATTACGCGGGCTGCGGCAAAACCTACACAAAGAGTTCTCATCTTAAGGCACACCTGCGAACCCACACAGGTAGGGGGACGCAGGCCGCGGAAAGGCGGGGGTTGGCGACCAGTCCCATAGGCTAACTGTGGACACTCCGCGGTGCCGCCTGGGGTTGCCAGCCAACCCTATCTCCTTCATCTCCCGGATCACAAGAGAGGCCAGCAAACCGGCGCCTACTCTTCTGCCCAGGAGCCTTTTGCTTGATGGATGGTATCTGTGCTTGAATGTGCAGTTTTGTGAGGCTTTTAAAAGGCAGGAGATTCTCAGTGGTATGTGGGCCTCTCCTAGCGTGAGCAAAATATTGCCCTTGTAATCAAGAAATTATACTCTGCAGTGCATAAGCACGATGTTTTGTTTTTTAATCCGTTTTTAAATTTCCAGACTATTTTCATTGGTTGTACCCGTCTTAGGTTCACCTTTCACTCTCCCTATTATTTTTAGCTGTGGTCTTAATAATTAGGCTTATTTAAATTCAAGGAATACGATGGTTACAACTGCTGGGGAGATTCTGGTTTAAGATTGTCACTGCAGAGAATTTCCATCTCAATGTAAATAAGTACATAAGGTCAATTTAGGTGTAGCCTTTATTAAAGTAAAGAAAAAAATAGCTGCCTGTGGCTTTTTAGATCCAATTGTAGTGGGTGGGATAGGGTATTACCGCTGGGTTTGGGCAGGGAGAGACACTACTCATCACAATGTCCAACCGCCATTTCATGTCTGTGTTGAAACAGCGCTGTAGAAAGAAGGTGGTTTAGATGGTGTTTGTGTTTTCATTGCTTAATTAATGTTCTCCTGAAAAGAGCAAATACTTAAGGCATGTATTATTCCTATTTATGGCCTGAAATTTAATATGGCCCTTCAGTGGTGTAGACGTTCCTGGATTCTTTCAGAATGATGGGGTACCTGCAAAGTTAGTTTAATATGTGGCCTCCGGTTTCTAAAAGGGCCAATTCTTTGTCATAGCAATGGCGTTAACACCTTTTTTTTTTTTGTTTCTTTCCCCTTTACAGGTGAGAAACCCTACCACTGTGACTGGGACGGCTGTGGGTGGAAGTTTGCCCGCTCCGATGAACTGACCAGGCACTACCGCAAACACACCGGGCACCGCCCCTTCCAGTGCCAGAAGTGCGACCGGGCGTTTTCCAGGTCGGACCACCTCGCCTTACACATGAAGAGACACTTTTAAGTCTCAAACAGTGAATATGACCCACACTGCCAAAAGAGAATTCAGTATTTTTTACTTTTCACACTGTCTTCCCGACAAGGGGAGGAGCCCAGCTGGAGCACTACAATCATGGTCAAGTTTCCCAACTGAGTCCACTCGTGAATGAATAATCAGGAGCAATGAGGAATCCAAAAGTGAAAAATCAAAGAACAGATGGGGTCTGTAACTGGATCTTCTTATCATTCCAATTCTAAATCCAACTTGAATATTCCTGGACTTACAAAACACCGAGGGGGGTGACTGGAAGCTGTGGATATCAGGGTATAAATTAGATCCGTGAGTTGGGGGAGGGAAGACCAGAATTCCCTTGAATTGTGTTTTGATGCAATATAAGCGTAAAGATCACCTTGTAATTCTTTTTGCCTTCTAAAAGCCATTATTATGATG